CGTAACGACCGTCCTTATTTTGGGTCAGCTGTGAACTCTCATAAATGACTTGTTGATTTCCTTCTTGTCGGTCTTCCATACCCAACACATCCAAGCTACATAACTCTTGGTAATTGGCAGATGATGTTCTGGTTGCATAAACATTTGACAAATTAGACTCACTGCCAGAAGACTTCACCGTCCCTCCTAACGTTGTCAACTCGGCTATTGGTTCCAGTGGTTGACTAATTCTTGGTTTCGTTTCCATTTTAATTCTTTCGTTTCAATTCTTGGTTTCGTTTCCATTCCTCTCCAATAATCACTGGCCCCTAGTAATACTTGAACAGGCAATTCACTCTTCTGATGGTTGTCATCCATCACCACTCCCTCCAAATGGTTGTATCGTTTCAGAAGCTGTCAGAAGTACACTTTTATCTAGTTCATTCAGCATTGTTGACATTCCAAATTTGTCCGGCATTGACACTCGATTCGTTCACCTCGTAGCTGTTGACCTTTTGGGTGGTTGAACAGACCATCATCTCAATTTGCTTAGCTCAGTATGAGTAGGTTCCTTGTGTATGACGCATATGAGCTCCCTGAGCCTGAGTCTAGTAGTGCTTACCATCAACCAATAAATTACTGTAGATTCACCTGTTGCCACCTACATACACCTGCATGTTTTTTTACTAGTTTCGTATCACATAATTTTGAAATATGATGTTGACCTCCACTTTTATGACAAGTGTGCTTGCTCTTACAATCCCTTGCTTAGCAAAATTTGGAAAACTTAAGTGCAGGCGCAATTCTATCAACTGTGACGAACATATTAATTGTTTTGCTAATCAACAAGAGCTCAATCGATTGCCGGATGTCGTTTGACTTTTTTTGGCGTGACCCATAGCCTTCTGCCAGAAGAGTATTATTGGGAATCCGGATTACGCCAGCTGTTGATCTCGGTAAACTTTTGACAAACACCCGCCTAGAAAATCCGACAGGCGAAAAAAATATCCTTAGGCCCATTGTTTTGTTCTCCTCCACGGAAATCTTTAGTAAAAGGCGAAAGACTTTTTCGTGAAAATGAAGGAAAACAAAGGCTTGGAAACTTCGGTGCTTGTCAGGGCTGTATAAACGAAATAGTTTCACTTTTGGAACACCGTAGTCACGGAAGTGCGCGCGCAATGTTATCAATTGTGACGAATATAATTGCTTTTTTAATCAGCAAGTGCTTAATCGATTTCGGGATGTCGATGGATATCTTGGCATGACCCATAGCCTTCTGCCAGGAAGAGGAGCTTTGGGAATCCGGATTACTCTAGCTGTTGATCTCGTACACTTTTGATAAACACCCGACTGGAAAATCCGGCGGGCGACAAAAAATACCCTTAGGCCCATTGTGTTGTTCTCCTCCACGGAAATCTTTAGTAAAAGGCGAGAGACTTTTTCGTGTAAATGATTGGGAATCCGGATTACTCTAGCTGTTGATCTCGTACACTTTTGATAAACACCCGACTGGAAAATCCAGCGGGCGACAAAAATACCCTGAGGCCCATTGTGTTGTTCTCCACGGAAATCTTTAGCAAAAGGCGAGAGATTTTTTTGTGAAAAAATTGCACTCGTACTGTCATGTGACATAGAACAATAACATATTTTGGCCACACCCCCAGCTTCCAAACCCTCTCCTCTATTAACTATGATCGAGGTAACTATCATATTCTCAACTCGGGCGAGATTCTTGACTGTCGTTGAAATTAGATACTCCAGGTTAAACGACTGAGTACAACGGAAGCAATTTTTTTGTCCGACGACGTCTCGAGCATCAAAATGGGGTATGGCATATTGGCATTCTATTTGACTCGGCAAGTGAAATGTCACGAGGGCCTAGAAAGCTGAACGCAAAGCGTTGTTTTATAGTTTCGAGTTATTTCATTAATTTTTTCAATGGCAAATTGATGACTTCTGAATACTTTGTTCGGCGATTCTCGCATCTTATTTGACGAGGAACAATTTTTAGAGGGCCACTTGTTAGTCAGTTGATATACTGTTCAGTGTTTACCCTCGTTAAATAAAGTTGATTGATTGAAACCAAGAATGGTCGATTAGTAAAGCTCGAGTAAAAGTGTTATATCTCTTGATGCATGTGCAGGGAAGCCGAGAGGTTGAGTGGGTTCCGAAGAAAAAGCTTCGTTTGGGGTTCTTACTGTCGTTTTGAGGGCCCTTTAGGAGGGGCCCCGTGGAGAATACCGGCCCCCAACCACCCTCTTAACGGGCCTGTGGATCATACACAAAACCATTCATGTTCGAATCGGCATGAAATTCTCTGTCATACCGGATGTACCAAAAAGATGCAAACTATTGAAAATAATCTACTATCAGAATTTGATGCCTCGACATTCTGCTGAATCCACAAGCGCATAAAAGTACCCATGGATGTGCAAACACAGCATTGAAAATAAAATCTTATTGCAGGTAATTATTTCACTATTTGATGCATATTGGCGTTTAGCTCAGCGTTAGATTATTGAAACTCTAACAATAGGCGATTTCAATAATTTGTGTTTTTTTAGTACACCCTGTACAGTGTGTTCAAGAAAACTGAACCTTTCAACAAACGTATTGCTGTGCCGCATGGAGCCCTTCTGGCCTCTATGTCAGGCCTGCATGGTCATCTGATTTTTCGCAGGGTAGTGTGGAGGCAGCGCATCCAGCTTCAGTTGAGTCTTCATTCGAAAAATAATAAGCGGCTTGTTTTAATAAAATTGATGTACTTGATGGAAAGTCATCAATATAGATTATAAGCGATGGCGATTAATTTTCAATTTGATTTACAAACTTTGTCGCACGACAAGTGAGCCGCCCCCACAGATTTAACCTCCATTGTGCCCACTCCATCTGCTCGAAGATATTAGCTCTTTGTTAGAGCTACTCGGTAAATTCGAGTGAAAATAAAGTTTATGTATGTATGTACCCCCCCCCCCCTACAAATAAATACAGATTAAGAAACATAAAGTAGTCTGTATAATCAGGAAGAAAAGACTGTATAGCAATTGTGTTGGCATTGGAAAGCTGTGTTTTGACTTTTAGTTTGTTCTCATTACCAAACTCAAAATTTTGGGCCTCCAAATTGCTGGCCCTGTGGTTAATGTGGCACTGACGTATCGTAGTAATTTGACAGCTCTAATAACAATTGTTTCTTGTAAGTTGTGTTTTAATTTTCGCATCTTATTCGACGAGGAATTTATAGTGCTGCAACATTACTACAAAACGTTACAGTTAATTTGAAAGGTTCAAACGCTGTATATCGATTTTATTGGTACTGTCTATTTAACAAAAACAAACTAACGTTTAAATTTCGATGATTAACGTCGCTCCCTCTCATCGGATTTATCCGTTGTTTTCTCAGCTGATAGGGCGTGGAATTATCATTGGATTTATTCTTATGTCAATTTCCAATATATAATTGGCTGAAAAATAAAACCTTTTCGTATGAAAATAATAGAATTATTGAAAACTTTCAGGTACAGAAGTTATAAGAAATGAAGGAAATGACAACTTGATTTTGTCGAGGTTCTGGTTTCTGATTGACTATTTTTTTTTAACTCGGAACAGTTTATTGCAAGAAAATGCCACACATAAAAATGTTCCCATTGCCAGGAAATATTGCGCTGCCTCAAAACTACGTGTTGCCTTATAGGTAACATGTCTGAGGTAGCACTTCACCTTGCAATAGTAACCTCTAGTCATTTCTCCTAAGTTTTCGTGTCCAAAATTTTGCGAAGCGCACGTCATTGAAGAACGCTTTTCTACATCATCCTGGGGTGTGTACGGAACTTTTTGATGGGGTACAAAGCTCCGTGCGTGGCGTGAAAGAGAATTGTTTGTGGGCAATTAACCGTAGTGCTTGCGTTTTGGCTTACCTTTGATGGCGAACGTAAATTTCAAGAAGTGAGATTCTGGTATATCATCAATATTCCGTGAAATGCTTATGACTACAGTGTTTCCAACTCCTGAAATAATATGTTCATCCCTTCTTTCCAATATAAATTTCTAGAAACCCACTTTTGTTTTCAAGCCCGAAATTTTGTTTCCATTCCAGAAATCCCAGTCGATAACGATCCTTTGCACAGCTAATTTTGCTCAACTGAGGCGATAGGCTTCTGTATGTATGCATTTCTAGTAAAATTTTATAATCTTTAGATAGTAAACTTTACAACGTGATACCACTTTCTTTTTAACAAGTCACAAGTGTTCAAAATTTCCACCCTAAATTATAAATTTTCCCTGTTGCCAAAAAACAGCATGAACCACCTTAACCGCGAGTAAATAGACGGGATTAGTAATCGCCCGTCGCCGCTCATGCTTGGGGACTAGCATGCGATTAGGGTAAAAATAATCGTCTTTTCCCAGCATCACAAGAGTTTTGAGATTAAGAATTGCTAAAAATTTACTTCAAAACTTCAACTGCCGATTTATTTTGCCATTTAAAACTAACGGAAACAAGATTGAGAAAGAAGCAAAACATTTCAACAATTTCCCTGGATTGGTGCAAACCCTGACAAGCATGCAAACACTTTAAATTATAAGAATGAAAAGTTCAGTACGAGTAAAAAAGCCATTTTCCTGTTCATTTCTCAAAGAGATGCCTCAGAAATGCGTCAAGGATGATTACAACGACAGCAGTAATACAAATAACTAGCCAAATATTCCATGGACCAGGAGCAACTGGATTTTTTAAGGTGAAACTTTCAGGATCATCCCAAAAATCACAGTACATTTGGCGTAAATTTTCACCATTCATCACATCGTGTAGCCCATTGAACTGCAAATATTTTTGGCTAGAATCAGTAAACTTGGGCCAATTGGGTAATTTCTGGAACTCTTTTGCGTTATAAGTGATATTTGTTATCCCAACATTTTGGATCACTGAAAAGCAATAAATGGCAAAAATTTATAATGAATTGATCTTTCTATTACTCTAGTAGAAAATGACATCATATTAAACACTCGAAGGCCTGTATACTCACCCATTTTTGGCAAAGTTTGTCCAATAGGTAACCATTCGCGATGACATAACCCTGTCTTCTTCTGGGAAAAGTCGATGGTTAATAGGCATACCAAACGTCCCCTGAAGCAATTTCAAAGAAACATTGGATTTAATATTTTTGAACGTCCATGGAAAAACTATCCATTCAATTGGCTGACTATTAAGTCTGAGGGGTACGTTTATGCTAAAAATCACTCTTATCTCGTCACGTGTCTATTGTATTTTGAGCGGTAGGACTGTAATGTTTGAATTAAAATTTTGTTCAAATCACGGTTGAGGAGCTAAGCCAAAACAATGCTATTGCTTAGTTGAGCAAAAATACAATAGACACGTGTCGAGATAGGAACCATTTTTTGCATAAACCTGGACAATAACACACTTAATAAGCTGTTTTGTACTTCCACCTAGTCTCCAAACCATGTATATTCTAATGAACTGTGATCAAACACACATCACATTCGACAAGCACATTATGATCGACTAAAGGCGTTGTTTCTCAATAATTTTCGTTTATTGGCGGCATGTGCTTCTTGCTGTTTTCTCTTAGTTAAAAGGGTAATACCTTGCGAAAAACTCATCGTTCTATAATATAGGCCTTCGGCATTTTCCCAAATTAACGACACTGACTCCTTTAACGGTTTCCCTTACATTCAACATATAGTGAAAACTGTGTGCAATTACTTCAATATTACAATAATCTATAGTTTGGAGCGATTTTGCTAGAGATTCATTATTGTGAATCTACTACTACCCACGGGTAGACCTAAATTTTGCGACGCTAAACCACTAGGAGTTCATACATTCTGCACAATGAAGCATTTATCGAATTAGGAACTATCGGAACGAGTTTATAGAAATTTCGCCTATATGAAAAATTCCTATTATTAAGTGATTATTTTTCACTTTAATTAGTGCTTAATGCCATTGGCATAGCCTGCCGTCTATAAACTATGTTTTGATCGAGCCCCCGGAATTTCTGCAGGTTTTTACACTCACCATGAGATCTGAAGCATGTGCAGCAAAACCAAAAGTGCCTTGAGGATAGTACACCAATATATCCAGAGGTGGTGCATAGGAAAATCGGAAAACATAAACATTTTTACCAATCGACTGATCGGACCACGTTTTTGCAAGTTTGGTTGTCTCGCAACTCCAGTACTTGTCTGTTTGAAAGTCAATCGTTGGCCTGAGTGCTTCAACGTAATTTGGATAGCATTTTGGTTCGTAGAGCTCTAAAGCCTTCTTGTGTACATCACCAGAGAAATCTTTTAATTCAAATTGAAGATTTTGTTTAAAATAGTTAATGTAAAACTCGGTTGTTTGGTTATTTTGGAGATTACTAAAATGCCAAAGGAATGCTTCGTGTTCACATACGCCAATCATCAAGTCTACATGTTTGTGCTGTCCTTCTTCAAGCATTTTGGCCGGCAGTTTTTTAAAGAAATCACCATCAAGGACAGGCAACATGAAATCTTTAGTCATGGAGTATTCTGTAGTGCGATAATGTTCCATAATTTCCTCAGTGCTAAGATTCTGAAGACATTCCAAAACCTTTTCATCGTTCTTACATCCTACTTGGCCAAGAAATTCTTCTGACATGTTCTTCGCGTAATTCATATCGACTACTCCCATGGGAAAAGTGATGCTTCCACTTTGTAAAATACTTCGTTGGAAGTATGGCCAACTATCTTCGGAAAAGAAATGAGAGGAAGTGGATCCAGCTCCCGCGCTTTCTCCGAATATCGTCACCTTATCAGGATCACCACCAAATCGCTCAATGTTCTCATGAACCCATTTAAAAGCCAACCTCTGATCAAACAATGCAAAATTCCCTGTCAACACACGAAGATAATTGATTTGACACTGCATTTGGATCAAACGTTTTGATTATTGAGGACAATTATCAAAGTACAGCCTACAGGCTTGGATCGTATTTTAAAAATAAAGATTTACGTTTAAAATTTGTCCTGAAGATACGCCTGGTACGCGCTAGCTATGAACAGCTGGAAATAAAGGGATGTGCGACGGAGCGGTCAAATCTTTGTAAAATATAAGCGATTGTACAGCAAGAAGCTTTGTAGAAAAGCTAGACTTGTCTTCCGCGCGTTCCCTTCCCTCGCTTCCCTCGTTCCCTTCCCTTTCCTCGCTTTCGTGACCGAGCGTAGCGAGGTCGCTCAAGCTCGCGTGTGGGTTTAAGAGTCGACTTGTAGCAAGTCTATAGGAAAGCTTCAAATTTCGAAAGTTGGCTTTTACTCAGATGATAAGACAAGCACTTTTACAGCGCGACCTCTGACAAAAACTAGGGAAAGTATCGGCGTATGCGAAATTCAATTAAAAGCTTGCTTGGTGAAAAAATGGGGGAGGGCTCCTTTTTTTATCGGAAAGGATCAATTAATTAAGAAAAACCAGTCCATATTCGCCGGGTAGTCTTCACTGTATTATCAGTAAAAATTCAAGAGGTAGCAGTTTTGTATACGGAAAAAATATGGATGTCCCGAACAAACTGCGCTTTTTAACTTGAGAAAAAAGTTACTTTATAACAATCAACGGTTTCAAAAACTCTTCAGAGCACAATTCAAGTTATACAGTCTATTTTTAGGTTTTATTCGTTACTTGTAATTGCCGTAGAATGTGAAAAATTATTAAACTTGATGTTTCCAAGTGTTATAATTTTCGACTCCGCGCGTGCATAGCTTTACGATTTTCTATTTGGCCTTGAAGATTACGACCAAATTATCGTTCCGGTTTATTTACAGTTTATTATCTCCACGACCCATATACACAGGAGCTAAGTGTATTCTTTCCGAGATATTACCTCTGACACTCTCATCACGAGTCACCAAGAATCCAAGATCAAATAATCGATAATTTATTGTAACAAGAATGACGTCACCACCCGCAGCTGCGACAAATGAATGTCCATGAAAGCTTCCTGATGTACCTCGCGTATATCCACCTCCATGAACATATATCTGAAAGTGTAAAATAAATGAGGTATGTCCAGTGTAGTGATCGGTTAACAGATGCTTTCAGATGGTTTCAGGTGCTTTCAGATGGTTGTCATGAAATGTGTGGCATTGTGGTGCAGAAGGTACGGAAGGTGCAGATGATGCAGATGTTGCAGTTGTTTGCAGGTGTCGCACATGGTGCGGATAGCGCAGATGGTGCGGACGTTCAGTTCGTGGAGATCGTCAGATGATGCAGATCGTGCGCATGGTGCAGATCCGTGCGAATGGTGCAGATCGTGCGAATGGTGCAGATCGTGCGGATGGTGCATATCGTGCGAATGGTGCAGATCGTGCGAATGGTGCAGATCGTGCGGATGGTGCAGATCATGCGAATGGTGCAGATCGTGCGAATGGTGCAGATCGTGCGAATGGTGTAGATCGTGCGAATGGTGCAGATCGTGCGAATGGTGCAGATCGTGCGAATGGTGCAGATCGTGCGAATGGTGCAGATCGTGCGAATGGTGCAGATCGTGCGAATGGTGCAGATCGTGGAATGGTGCAGATCGTGCGAATGGTGCAGATCGTGCAGATTGGTGCATCTCGTGCGAATAGGGCAGATCGTGCGAATGGTGCAGATCGTGCGGATGGTGAAGATCGTACATATCGCGCGAATGGTGCAGATCGTGCGGATGGTGCAGATCGTGCGGAAGGTGCATATGGTGTAAATGGTGCAGATCGTCTAGATCGTGCAGATGATACAGATGGTGGAGATCGTGCAGATGATGGAGGTGGTGCAGATCGTGGAGGTGCTGCAGATCGTGCAGGTGGTGCGGATTGTGCATATCGTGCAGATCGTGCAGATGTCGCGGATCGTGCAGATCGAAGACGCAGTAATTGCGATCAAAGGAGTGTTGACCACGTGGTTTTCTGGCGCAATTTTCTACCTACTGAGCTACAAGGTCCAGTCTTCTTAAAAACATGATTTCGGATCCAGTTATTAAAATACCGCTATAAACCTGCGATGTGCTATAAACTTCCGACGAGGATTAGTTGGTATAGAGCTCCATATATAGCAAACCACAATTCGGGGATTCGACTCCGGCCTTTGTCACCATTTATTTTAAGGTTTTACCATGTGGTTCCGCTCAGATAAATATTGGACAAATGTACCAATCGGCTTTTTATGAATATTTTATACAATATAGCATCCTACCATAACCGTAGCAGATTTTGGTCTTGGGTGTGGTGTCCAGACATTCAGAACGAGGCAATCTTCAGACATTATGTAAGGAACTTTAACACCTTGCGGGCACGATATCGGCTTATCCTCGGGCTTTTCCAACAGTCCTGTAAAAATAGCAAGTTGCGTAAAACAAGATGCTCTATTCACCGTTTGGGGTATTCAATAACGGTAGCTTGGATACAATTGAAATATATCATTCTCTGTTGTTCTGAAAAACATTTTCATGCAAAGGACCGGTTTCAGACTTTGACACTCATGTGACATACGCATTACGAACAATGAGTAATGAGTTGTGCGTCTCATTTGTCCGATGAACTTTAAACGTGCCGAATATACATTAACAAAATAGATAATAAACTGAAATGCCTTCTTATCTATCTTTTTAAATTTATTTGGCGCATGAAAAGTTCGACGTTTGAAAAGAATCTTGTTGTTAATGTTAGCGTAGAATAGCACAAAAGTATCTATAAGTAGCAGAATTATGAAATAGAGTTATTCGCTCATACATATAATTCTGATGCTTCGGTTACATTTTTCGTATGATATGCCTTTGTGCAGAGAAACGAAAGTAACTAAACATGCGCGCGAGTTGTCCGAAATAGTAAATTGATGATAACGTAAAGGTGGAAGAATGTACAGTTTACCACAATGCATTGCAAATATCAAACATAAATGACTAAAAAGAATGAGAAGACAAACACCGAATGGCATGAAACTTTAACACAGCCTCATTTCTCATGCCTGTCCTGGAAGAAACCTCAATTCGCATCTTTGAGCGATTTCTGACGCAATGCGTTCTGGTAAGATGTACATCCGCCATCTTTTTCGTTATGTATAAACAAACGTTATTCAAGTATAAGTTCTTCAATGAACTGTGTTCTCACAATTGTAATATGCATGCTTTTACAGAGGGGGGAGGATCATTTAGAAAAGCTAGGAACATTATAAACATTCCTCCATCCCCTGGTATAGCCAGACTTTCTTAAGGAGGTTTCCTTAGAATGTGAGAGCTCTGTCAATGAATCATTTGCTTAAAAAGAGTGCTCGAACACAAAAACGATACCCGATCAATAAGAACTAGAAAAATAATGTAAGTAGATTAAAACTCCTCCGTACCGTTCCATGGCTTTTTAGGTTGAGGCTTCACGAATCTTAACTTCCCTACTGGAGCTTCTGCGTAATAGATATTGAGGAATTTTTGGACATACAGACCATCCAATCTTGTTTCTTCAATCTTCCCGCCAACTTTTCCAGCCAGAATCTCAACAACGACTAAACATAAATTATGTATAGAGCACTTTAAGGAAAACTCTGCATGTTCAAGATGTTCTACAGCTAGCATAGGTAATAAACAGTAGAACAAGTTTGTTTAGTTGGTGTCCTCACGCCGCGGTATTATTTCGTCCGCCATCATTCTGGCGTGTTTTTACCTATGCTGTGGGGTTATCAGAGAGCGAATGGAGAAAAATCTATTGTTAAAATTTTCCCGATGTGGAATATCCGAGCCATGAGCAGGTTCAAGAAACGCAGCCATAAGTCTTTCTGCAGGAATCAAACCTGCTGCACTGCGATGCAGCCTTTCAATTAACAACTCAGCTACAAAGTGCAGTTGTTGAGCTCAAGTTACAAATTCTTTCATACAGAGTGACAAACAAAAGGAATCCTTGCTTTAAATGAAAATAATGGAATATTATGGGAGTAAAAGGTTAATGTTGATTACTCATTTCAAGGGACGGGTCATAAAGTATTTACTAGAGGAGGGTGGAGGATAAACGAAATTTCAAGTACATGTTTTCATACTCTCCCAAAAACTCATGCATGGACAAAATTTTCGTTACCCCCTTTCATGTAAGGTAAATTTTTCAAACCCCCCCTCCCTTTCTCCCATTACTTCTGTTTTAAAATTGTCTTGCGTTTAGTTCAGTTCGTCTTGGAAGCAATGAAGATCAGACAAAGGATATCAAACAACACTAAATTTAATCATTTTGCACAAACGTTTTCGCTTTATTGAAAGCTCCTCAGGTGCTGAATACTTTGTAAGAAATGACCACTATAATTTTGGTACCCCCTAGAGATTCTTGGGGTTTTTTCAGCTCTCCCCCCCCTAATATTCTCCACACCCCATAGTAAATACTTCATGACTGGTCCCTAAATCGACTTTCTAACGGTGGTTTTTGTTAGAATTTTCAATGAACTATATGCATGGGTAAACTACAAAGTTTCAATGCTTGACGGTTGTATTTACAAAGATGGCGTTGAAATCGCGGTTTACAGTAAGCATGAACCTTTTTTCTAATTCCCTTGTTAGCTTTGACATGTAACGACAGCGTTAATCGTGTCGAAGAATGAAGGAAGTAAAATTGTTTCAAGTCAATTTCGGGTTTGTCAGTATCACTATACAGTGTGAACCAAAAGTCACCCTCACGAAAATACTGTCATAAAATTACTTTTGATAGAGATATGCCGTCGAAATTATAGATGCTACAAGAAATTAAAAATGTTGGCTGGGACCTCCATTACTCTCTGCGACTATTGCATATCTGTAAGGGTATGAGCTGTGTATGATATTGTGGGTTGTGTATGTATTGAGAGTTCTGTTGGTATTGACGGCTGTGTATGTTTACGGGCCGTGTATGATTGCGAGCTGTTAATCTATGAGGGCTGTGTATGTATAGTGGTCTCTGAATTGCGAGCTACGCATGTATTGAGTGTTCAGTATTGAGGCCACTGTATGTATTGAGCTCTGTATATAGTGCGAACTGTGCATGTATTGCGGACTGTGTATGTATTGGGGGCTGGGTAATTACTGCGAAATGTGTATGTGTTGAGGTCTTTGTATGTATTGCGGTCTGTGTTTATTGCGGGCTATGTATGTATTGAGGGTTGTATATGTTTTGTGGGGTAAATGTGGTCACACATGATGCAGGCTTCTTCTAAAATACAGGGTATTGTATAGATTTTTCCTATACTTTGTGTCAGGTTGTCAGTGAGAGCGTCTTAATTATATACGCTAAAAATATGTGTAACCATGCATATAGTATGAATAAAATATATATCTATAGTGAAATACTGAATTTTCTTAGGCAAGTTCCTGGTAATAAATATTAAACATATATTTAATATAACCACACCTGACTCATCTTCTACTGCAGCAACACATTCTAACAGCACCACGACAATAACTTGCGCCAATGCAATACCGTGCTAAAATGAAATTAAATTGCTCAAATTACAGTCAAAATACAAGAACCTTTCCAAGATTGAATCCTTTAGAAAAGCGTTCATTTTTCCGCTGTGTGAAAATCAGGGCCGTAGCGAAGGAGAGTGGTATTGGGGACAATGGTTGCAAAATTCTGAATTTATAATAGTCAGAATCTTTCGCTGTCAGAATCATTCTAACATTAGTAAAAATACGTACGTATACGAACTTAATTTTCCGAACAAGAATTATAATATGCAGAAAAACTGCATTGACTTTTTATTTGAACACCCTTTATATTGTAAAGCTATTATACTAGTTTACGTCGTTCCAAAGCATATGCAATATAAAATTGAAAATCATCAAAGAAGAAAATATTAATCCAACGCTGTCAATACTTACAAAAAGCAAAATGCTGAAATTCCCACTCTTATTCGTGTATATTACGACCCTTATAATATTCTGATATATATAATATTCTGAACCATAATGCAGGAAATAATTATTTCCAGAACCCAATATTTCAAAATTTCTTGCGCCTTGGGTACAATTTTCAGCCCAATATCCTGAATTCATTCAAGTTAGCTAGAGGTCTATGGCGTATTGTATTATTTTGAGGAGTTTTATATATATTCAATAGGATCCCGATTCGGAAATTTTTCATTTTTTATCTGCTTCCCGCCACTCCCAACCATGATGTGTTCGGTATGAACCTGATGAAAATTGTACTTGGATTACACTGTAAACCCCCTTTGTAGTCAGTTATATCAAGTGTTTATACCAATAGCAGAAGGTATTTTATTTGCATGTAACCTAGTGAACAAAAATAATAAAATCCTGTCGGAGAATGTGTTTTGCTCTATAACATCATGAATAGCAGGAAAACTTTTGCAATTTTCGTTCTTAAAATCCTACGGTGCTGTAAAGATTGGATGTTAGAAGATAACCCCCCCCAAATAGACATGAAAGGGTGCCGTGAGGCATGAGTCATTTATCATGTGAACAAAGAAGTCATGATTCACTGGACAATGACCATGAGGCATAGTGAACAGGGATCATAGATCATGTGGGATGGAGATTTTCATCAAGTGCATTGGGATCATTGAACATGTGTACAGTAAGATGCATTTAGAGTGTAAATGAGATCACTTACAAGTATTTAAATATGTTATAAAATTTAAACAATACAACAATTTTTTTACTTTTACACTGAATATTTTAATTCACAAATTTCTTCTGCTCGTTCACGGAGACCTACCAGCCAACAGGTATTTTATAATTTTATATGGTATGATTTTTTTTAAAAAACTTGACTATTCCTACATGGAGTATTTCATTTCACAAATACAAAAGATATAGTCTAAGAAATATTCTAAGCAATTTGCTAAAGTAGTTCCTTTCTGCCTAGAGTATACGGTCATCAATTGCAAGTATGGCATCGCGAATATTTGATCAAATTCTGTTTTGTCGGTTTGCTGTACTTTAGCACATCATATGCTTCGCCAACTGCTTGCCAAAGCTTAGTTTTATTTTCCTCTGCTTTGCCTCATATACCCAGATCCACCAACCAAGCTAAGAATTTACATTTCTTAAGCACCAATTTACTGATGCTAAAATGACTCATTCATTTAAACAAATGTAGGGTGCTGATTTAACAACAGTGAAAACTTTAGCCAGAGATGAGATTATGGCTAACATTATAATAAAGTTCATACGAAAGAAATTAAAATTGAAAAAATCAGCAGAAGGAACCCAGAATAAAACGCGAAAACAATTATCGAAGGCCTAATTCACGCGTACGGGCGCCTGTTCATGCACGTGGTCCTCCCGCGCGTGGCCGCGCCCGCTCGCGCGCCGCGTGTGACCACACCAATAAAAACAAAAATATGAAATTTTACAAATCTAATCAATCTCATTCGCCGTACGCCGTACGGTATGCCGTGGATTCAAACATCGATTTCCGATACGAAAATAACGTTTGTTGCAATCGCTTACTGTCCCTTTATAAAGGTACGATAACAAGAGTCGATAAAAACCTTTATTATTGCGACATTTGAAAGAAACATTTCGAATGCAGTACGAATAGCAATAGTCCCTTATAGATCGAACCTCGAGATTTTTCTTGTCTATTTTAGGCAGTCGAAGAACTCATTGTGCCGTTGTTCAGTAATTTTCAGCATTCTTATATATATACTTTATTAGTCTTTAAGCTAATCTTCTGAAGAGAAATATGTTTCAATCTATTTTTCCTATTAAAATGGTAAAAGTAAGGTTTGGATTGGAACGAAAACTTTGCGAAATTAAGTGCACGCGATGACGCGAATAAATTTAATAGACAAACAATGTGGGCTTCGTTCGAACAAATGAACGGCCATTATATCTTGAAACTTACCATTTTACTCTTAGCATTCATCTCTTTTCTGAAAAAATCAGCTGTTTAGTTACACCAGCAACCTCGCTGTAGAATAATCAGCACTATAAGTCAGTAATTTACTGCAGTAAACTTCTATACGTCGGCTGTAAATTATGGTCGCCTTGGGCATTGCCACAAATGAGGGACTGCAGGGACATGCGCCTGCCTTGTACAGCGGATATCTGCATGAAAATTGGGAACCGCGCGCGTTTATCCAGCGGCCTTCCGTGTGGTAATAGAAACTAATAAGGTTGTAAGGCTTAGGCTTGTAAGGCTTGTAGGCTTGTTCTTGTAGGGCACTAAGGCTTCTAGTCTTTGCGCGAGACTTTCAAATTACTTTGAACCTTTCGCACTTGAATTTCATTCCCGTTAAAGGGAGGTTTTTTACTTCAAAAGTGGGACAAATGCTTTTAAATTTTGGATAGCTATATGGCTGCTATTGTACTATCAATTATTTATCGATGCTGTGAAAAAATACAGCTGGGGATCAAGAAGTGGCATTTTATATCGTGTAGAAAGACGACGATTGATGAAATGTCAAGGGACACAAAAATGAAAAAATATTACATGGCACTACTTCAAAACCCATCGAAACTTGGTTGAATAATTCTTTAGTCCATTAGAATCGTGCTAAAGTACAGTATTTGGATGGTGCTTGCGACGAACGGTGAAAAACGGCGATCAAATTTGCGAAATATGCTGAAGCCTGAAATCGTGTTCTGGCGGGGCGGGTAAGTGAAATGAAATATGTCGTATCGCAACAAAACATTGTTATTTCGTAGGAAATTTATAATAAATATATTAAAATAAGCATGTTTTTTCATCATATGGCAAAAATTTTTAGAAAATAGGGAAAACAAGACGCCTGTTCTGGCTGTTCAGGCTGTTCTGGCGTTAACTCCGGCGTGGCGCGCACGTGCCAGTCTTCAATATAAAGCTTCTAAACATAAACAATACAGTTCATATTCATTTAGATGCCTTGCGAACCTAAATGTTGTTCGATCGCGAAATTCAGAAGCACATCGTTCTTTAAAAAGTATAGAAGTTCAATTGCTCAAAAATGTAAATAAACCGCCAGATACATTCACTTTGTCTTACACTTTGCCTTTGGAATTCGTGCTTATATAGTTATATTAATAAATTTTCAATCCTGTGCAAACTGCGTTGTGCAAATTGCCGTATCATGCGAACGAAATCGAATTGCGCATCGGAAAATTAGCCAAAGCTGTGCACCACAACTCTTGGGAGACAAGACTGGGACAGATAAATCCCATCACATACACATTTCAAATAGTAATCTATTTCATAACACGCATCACTCAAGCTCAGTTAAATTTAAGATTGGGAATAATTTTCGATAGGTGCGGCACTAGCCAAGCCGATGGAGCTTGGCTAGTGGGTGCTAGGCGGGTATGACCCACGCAAATTTTGGGGTGGGTGGGTGGGTCGTTTCTCCGTCAAGCACTCCGCGTATAAACTGAGCATGAATGGCGTAATCTGTGTTACACGCCCTTCTTTTATGTTCCGCATGTCTAACACACGTGGCTATTTCCTTCCAATCACAAGCAGGGCATTGTTATGGTAAATTTTAACTTTGCATATCATTATACGTGTTGTGAATAGTAATCTATTTCATAACACGCATCACTCAAGCTCAGTTAAATTTAAGATTGGGAATAATTTTCGATAGGTACCTGCCTATCATTCGCTCTCTTCCACATTCTTTCCTGTGATATACATACTCTCCCCTACACTCCCCCTCTTCTACACTCATTTCCCATCTCTTATCCCCACATCTTACAACCTCGTTTACCTCCAGTATAACCCCAATTCTTACTAATCCCTGCAGTTATGAATACCCCAAATGGTTACAAATTGTTTGAACTACGGACCCAGTGTGTATAATATTCTTTAATAAATAGGTAATATATTCGCTGAAGGTGAATCCCTAGCCCTTATACATGTATTCCCACATTCCCACACTCCCTGCCCCTGTCTCCGGAATAAGTACACTTCGTTTGGACGTCAATAATACGCCACCAATATGTGCGATACAGTTCGCTCCATGTTTATTGTTCCATGTTTATTGCTCTATTGCTTCCATGTTTAGTTCGCTCCTTTACACTTGACAATACGACAAATGCAACTTACGTCGGACGTTGTCGCTTTTGGTTAGGCAGAGGTGGTGGGAAGGCACACACAAAGCGTTTTAACTGGTTAATATCTTGCCAGGGTTGGTCGACCGTGCTAGCAGTCGGTGATGACAGCTTTGCGGAAGCTCCGTCGGGATTGAGAACCTTGGCGAGTTGTAGATAATAAATAGCAGTATGACGACGTGTCCACCCTACATGATCCATAATCTCTGAAAGGGTGGCTCCGGTTAGAGCCAACGTGATCGCACAACCCGATCGGAAACCGTGTAAAGTTTCCCCATCATCGGCATTCATCTGTTGTAGGTAAACTTTCAAACGGGCTTCAGCCGCAGACGAGGTGAAGGGTGAATCCTGGATGCCCTTTTTAGAAGTTGTCGGTCGAAACAGGTAACCTTGAGTGAGATCAACGCCGATTTGTCTAGCAATTTCGATGTATTTCTCGATAGCGCGGACCGGACAAATGACTGTGTGGGGGTTACGGCGAATACCAAAGACATTTTGGTCACCATCTCTCAGGGTTTTTCCCCAGACATGATTCAGTAGCAGTCCATCGTCATTTGGAAAACGCAGGATACCGGCAACTTTAATCTGACCCAGGTCCGCTGGGCGATCGCCACTAAAGAAGGTGGTCATAAAATAAGCGTGATCTCGTGCCAGGATAAAACGTTCAAGATTGGAAGTCGCTGCCGCCAGTGATGTTTGTAAATGGTCTGCCAGTTGTGTAAGTTTGGTGACAAAAAACGGTGTGGCTTGTTTAGGTGTGACGCGAGCCTGTAACTGTTCTGCAGTAACCAACTTAAGATAATGCTTGACTAACTGCGCAGCAGCGGGATTGCCAAGTCCCAGGCGCTTGTCCCATTCTCCGTCCCGTCCAATAGATTGAAAGATAGCGCGCATTTTTCCTATATAAGAATCCACTGTATTATACGCTAGGCGTACAGGACAACCACACGGATGCGTTCCTCGTTGCCCAAGGAAATTACAACTATGAAGGTGTATTTGCGTTTTACCAAAGCGATCCTTGTATGCTAGAAAGCGGCAGAGATCGCGAGGTGTGGCAGAGATTAAGGAAACATGTCCTGGCAAGGAGTTGAAAAAGCTTTCTAGTTCTTTTTTGAGAGCATCCTTCTGCTTAGAGTAACTTGTCATTTTGCCGTAGTCAAATAACTGGGTAAGGCGAGCGTCGATAGCATGTAAATCGAAAACACGATTAGAATTAGAGACGGGTGTTAATGACTTGCGAGAATATCCGCATTTCTGGCAAAAACGAAAGTCCCAGTCGTTAGCGTGAGCACACACAGGACATTGGACTGACTGGATGAACAGTTTAGCAACAATTGGCAGTTCCTGTAGGACAAAAACAACAACGTCGTAAAATAAATAAATAAATAATCGAGTAACTAAAGACTAGAAGGTAATGGCCAATGCCCAAAGGTCGCCGGGGAGGCCTGGATGCGGGCTCCAACCTCTTGTTGTAGGTACACGAAGGGCAGTGGTATCCCCGCGCGCTGCCAGCTTCAACACTTTGCCAGATGACGCCTGTAAGAGTGGCCACCAATATTTGCGGGGAAAAACATCAAGCACGAGGAACGTACAGTTCTGTTGGTACGAACGAAGGAAACTAAAGACTGGCCCAACTAGAACGGATGGGGGAAAGACATAAGGTCGACGCATTAGGCTCTGATGTTGTAGTAGATCTTGCGCAAATAAGTTTATCCCTGCCGACGCTGGAGATGGCGCAGGTGTAAAATGGGGTAATGCGTTCCCGAATATGTCCGGCTGTGCATTAGAATCTAGTGCCATGAGGTCCACTGAATGTCCATGGGTACCTCCAAACTCGGTTTGCACGAGATGCCAGAGCTTAGCAGTTAAAGAACTATCCATCAATGACGTTCTCCGGGAAGGTCTATCTGCCGGGTTGGAATGGGTCGGGATATACATAAGGTGGAGTGATAGATTAAATTGGACAGTGGTATGGAACAAGGTTTTGAGAGCATCATTAAGTGATGGGCTTCGAGAGCCTTGATTATTCCAGGCATGAATGACTGCTTGATTGTCGACAAGCAGATCAACATGTGCATTTTCAATGGATCGGCGAAAGGAAGTCAAGACCTTAACAATTGCAACTGCTTCCTTTGTTGCGATGTCCCAGTTGTTTTCGTCGGCAGTCCAGTAATCAGAAGCTTCCTGCGGGGTCGCGGAAAGTAGCTTTCCTCCCCAACCAGAATTAGATGCATCCGTGGCAATAGAGATGCGCACATGGCGTTCATCACGCCAAGGTAGGGGGTTATCGAAGTTTTCCAGAAATAACCAATGGCTGATCTCTTGTTTTAGCCGCTCAGAAAGAAAAATAGGCTTGTTGTTATGTAAGATGGAAGAGGAGATAGCTAGATTCATTTCACGTGTGTACAACCGAGCTGCTGGAACAGCCAGGAAAAGGCGACACACTTTCCAGCAAGGCGTTGCAAAACCTTAAGTGGTATATGGGACATGCCAAGAATCTCATGGAGTAACGTAAGGAATTTGTCCTTTTTTTCTGGCATTAAATGAAAGACCTGCCTCTCCGAATCAGCAAGAAAGCCCAAATAGGGCACAACTTTGCGGGGTTGAAGAATAGACTTTTTCAGACCCAAGAAATATCCAAGGAGCACCAGATAATATGTGGCAAGGAAGATCGCTGAGTTCGCGCCGCGAGGTATTTATCATCCTTTGTAGCCAGGGTAGCATACTGTCCCTTTTGTAAAGACACTTGCAACTGGCCATTATGCCTGTCGTCGATGTAAAGCAGACATGGTATCCCAATCGAACGAAAGAATGTTGTTGGTAAAAGGCCAGTTGTGTGGTAGATATAGGGGGATATTTTCCAACCAAATGGTAATGTATTGTAAACGAAATACCAACCGCCAAACTGGATGCCAAAATACGTACGACTTTCTTCAGTTAGGAGAATGTGGTCGTAACCTGACTTATCGTCTAACACTGTTTGGTAGTGGCCGGCGTCGACGTAACGGGGCAAATCGGTAAGCCGATCTAGAGAGAACGGCATATCTCGCATCCATAGATTAAGGTATCTTGCATCGTGGCATAAACGGGGTTTTGTCGGCTCTACCGTAAGTGGTAACACGAGATGTGGTGGTTGTACAGTACCGACTTTGCCAAGCATTAAAATAGCTCCCGTTTGTAAACGCTCCAGAAGGGTTTTACGCACAAATGATGCGAAAGGACGACAAGATTGATTATTCGGAAAAATCCGGTGGGGTGGTCGATCGGAATTGTACTCCTCTGCTTTGAACCTTCCTTGGTATGGTTGAAAATATGGTTCAACCGAAACCTTATTTTTTACCCAACCCAATATTTCAGATTGTTTATCAGGAGGGAGGACATGGGAAATGTCCTGCCAAGCGGAGTAATGGTTATGGAGTTCGCCTGCTTTAAAATGATTTGGATCACGGAAATATACTTCCTCAACATGACCAATGATATCGCCCGCCTGGACTTGATGAACACGATTGAAAAGTTGCTGATTTGCCGCTGTCTCCCCACTGACCTTGACGGGGCGTCCCCGAAAGTTTACCCAT